TATAAATTTCTAGAAACAAAGATAAATCCCCAAAGAAACTGTTATGATTAATCTTTAGGACTTATCTAGTCTCAGAAAAGATTATGAGATGTTCGAGGAAGAATTCATAATTCTTCACTACTAAGAAGCCATAACATCCAAAATTGATCCACAAGAATAATTGGCTAAAACAACGGATTGTGCAAACGCCCACAGTAACGTGTTACATGGTGGGGTAGCTGACACACCTTTGTTCTATACGACAATTATGGATACCTCAAGGTCGAACAAAGTGGGAAAAACAAAAAAGGACTGTATACTTTGTCTCGTCACTACGATATGCGATTCTGTCAGTATCCAGGTCCACCTCCCATCCTTCCTGAAAGAGTGTTGTCATATCACTCCACATTTGGATGTGGACAGGTGTAGATTACACGGGGGGGGGGGGGGGGGGGGGGGGACCAATAATTTAACAAAAACAGTTGACAAAGTTACCATTAAAGGGTTGTACTTCTGTTTGTTTTAACTTGTGCTAGACTAGAGGCAGTACATTCTAGAAGTAAGCCACTGAATGTCTGCTGTAACTTTTATCAAATTATTCAGAAGGTATGCAGCAGTAAGGGCATTGTCCAGATGATGATTTCAGATAAGGCAAACGAACTTTGTTTGCTGGTGGTGCTTATATCGCTAAGTTCTTTGATCATCAGAAGTCAACAGATGCTGAATCAACGCGTTGTCGTTGGAGATACTTCCTCCTAAATCTCCATGGCACGGAGTGATTTATGAAAGATTGATCGGCATTGTTAAAAGCGTTGTTAAGGAAGATCTTCATCGTCAGAGATTAGACTTTGAAGAATTCCGTACGTTGTGACTGAAATAGAAATAATTAGAGTCAACAACAGACCTCTAACTTATGTTATCGATGATCTGGTCAATTAGAAAAGTGTTAGTCCATCTATTTACTCCATTGGGGGGCAGAAGGCTCGAACCTGGTCCTCCCCAGGAATGATGAAGAATTCATAGAGGATCCTACTTATTTCGAACCTGAGCAACTCAGACGTAAATTCAGATTATAAAATTAATAAAGTGATTGAATGTTGGAGAGTAAAATTTGGCGAGAAGACTATCTCACCTCATTGAGGAACACTTCTATGGAGCTGGTGTTCCTGAAAATCATAAGTCTTAAGACTGGTGGACATAGTGTGATTAACGATATGATGGTCGAGGTCCAATGGCCCACTTGGAAAAATTGTGACCATATATCCTGATGCAAATGGAATTCATCAGGGACAGTTGATGTTTTGAGCAAAGGTGTAGTGTAGTGAATAAGCGGACAATAAATAAACTAGTGCCGTTAGAATTACTACCTCAGGGTTGAAAACAAAAGTAGTGATTTCTCAGAACTAACTGCACAGACTAAAGCTGTTCAGAAAAAGCAAGCCGCAGTGGTGGCGAGTGAGAGAAAATCAAAATTAATGTTATAAGTGCTGAATAGTTTCACTGCTCAGCGACGAACCTCCGCCCAGCCCCCCCAGTGTGGAGAATTTCTCCAGGAGGGGGGTATCAGCCCCCTTCTGCCCTTTCAGCCTGAGGGGCCAAGCCCTCTCAGCCCTGAGGGGCCACTCAGGAGGGGTGTGTGCATCTAGTTTACTGCTAGAGTGAGTAATTGATCAACAGATGCTATGCCACGTAGTCAAGTGACCTCTGCTCTTGCAGCGGTTTGTTGCAAAGTGTTTTTTATAAGAGACAATACATTCTTACTTAAGCAGGACAATTAAGGAAAATCCTGCTCCCACTTATTACCATGTAAAGATAGTGTACATTGGTTGTCGATGATTAGCAGCAAGACAACAAATTCTGCTTTGCTTCATCGAGGAGGTGACAGGCGCAAGGTACTAGGTCAGCGTTTTTTTTTGTGCTGGGGGCAGTGACGGCATGGAGCGCTGTGGCAGTCTGGCCAGACTATCTTTGACTCTATGGTGAGTGGGACAACTGACGCCAGGATATACTGATCCTGTGCGTTAGTGTGAACAAAGTGTCTCTAACACTAAACTTAATAGAAGTGTGTCAGCTTCTCTTGTGATACATTGTGAACATAAGCAAAATTTGTTGGAACATAGTGTACAGTGTGCGTTTCCTAGACAATGGAAGACGTGGACATCCAAGGACACTTCAGCTTCTATTCAAGTCACTGATATCTGTCGAAAGGTGTTGTGAAACCATAGCTCAACGTTACAAGAGCAAGGTTAGGTTACGTAATTTCGTGTAGAGCGGGGGGAATTGCGCAATTCTTGAGTCACAAGGAGTTTGTAATCAACCTATTATCGGCGTAAGGTGTGGCTTTTGAAGTCCAAACAAGTAGGTATTTCGTCAGCCATCATCTCGAATGACAATATGCGGACATAACACCCCCTAGGGGTGATTTTTAGTTTTTTTTTTTTTTTTTATCTTCGGCCGATTCCCACCAGGCCAGGGTGAGGTGCCCGAAAAAAGAAAAACTTTCACCATCATTCACTCATCACTGTCTTGCCCGAAGGGTGCTTACACTACTGTTTTAAACTGAACATTAAAAACCCCTCCTTCTTTATACTTACAATTGGTTTCTCTGGATCAGCCCAATGTTGTGATGGTTTCGTCGACAGCATCTAGACCTCATCTGCAGGGGCGGCTGTGTAGACGATTTGCTGTCAATCATCAGCTAAGTGTTCATTATATATAGTTATAAAAAACACAGCAGGTAAGGCCAAAATTCTCAACAATATCCATTTGGAATCTTCCCTGGTCTACTTGTGTTTGTATTCTCCTTATTAGTGTCATTTCATCTGCAAACAGACACCTCTGACTTGATTTCCTCTGTCATATCGTTTACATACATAAGAAACAGTACTGGTCTAACATTGACCTTTATGGAACCCTACTCGCCACTATCGCCCATTCCGATACCTCCTCTCTGACAGCAAGTCATTGTTCACTTCAAGGTAAGTATTCCTTAATCCAGTGTAGTCTTTACCCTGTAATTACTGCCTCCTCTACCTTTTATGCCAATCTCTTGTGGGATACTGTATTGAATTCCTTCTTACATCAACAAATATCAAAGTCCTCCTTCCCTGTCTTCTCCTGATAATCTTCGTTACTTGTTTCATAGAAATAGAACCAAGCTGGATTTGCCAGACAGGATTACCCATCTCGGAAAATCATGCTGGGTTGTTGTTTATGATCACTTTTTAAGTTCTTCGTTACTTTCTGCTAATCTTTTCCAATAGACTTTGCCAAAATAATGCATGTTTATGACAATGTCCTGTAGTTCACTGCCGCCTGTCTGTCCTTTTTAAATATTGGGACTACATTGGTTGTTGTCCAGACCGCTAACAGCTGACCTGTTTCAAGGGATTTGTTGAAAAATCGATGCAAAGTGGTTCACACAGTTTCCTTGCTCTCTCCTGGCGGAACGATGAAGAAATGTTGTCTCGTCCCATCGCCTTCGAGGTATCTAATTCACTCAGTATTTACTTCATATCTCCTCCCTTTGTGAGTGTTGTGTCCAGTTGGTGCACTTTTTTTTTCTCTCTCTCTTTGACTCTCTGGCAATGTTTCTGATGCCACTGAAAATGCCTCCCTAAATTTTTTGTTCAGTTCCTCTCATTGTCATTCCTAACGAGTTCCTCTCCTTCCTTCTTCAGTCTTATTACCTGGTCCTTCACAGTTGCCTTCTTTCAACTTTGGCTCATATTAGGCATTTGATGCTGTGTTAGTCTCAGATTGCCTTGCAGCCTCTCTTTTTACCCATGCATATTAGTTTCTGGCTCTTCTGATTGCTTCCTTATTCTATGGCTTTCTTTGTTTTATATATGTCTTCTATGTTCTTACACTATCAGCTTTTGTCTCCTTACACCTGAGAGTGAGTCACGGGCTCATTCTCTTTTTGCTTGTGCTTCTTCTGTTTCCGGGTATCATTTTTTTCTTTGCTTTCCAGCTACATATTCTATCATGTCATTTCCTGTCTTTCCTTCTAGCCTCCTTTCCCATGGCACTCTGTATATGAAATCCTCATACTATCATGGTCTCCATTTTCGAAGTTAGGTGTACGTTCGTGAGCGAGCGTGTGTACTCACCTGTATGTGCTTGCAGAGGTGTAGTCCACAGTTCCTGTGTTGTGTGGTTGTGTGTGTGTGTGTGTGTGTGTGTGTGTGTGTGTGTGGGGTGTGTGTGTGTGTGTGTGTGTGTGTGTGTGAAAGAGAGAGAGAGAGAGAATTGCTTACAAGATGGTTAGGAACCTATAAATAATTGATTTTTTTCCTAAGCAGATCAACCAGAATGTATTCATCATTTAAAATATTTGTCTTTATTTGTAGATTAAATCAAGAAAAAAAAATATATAACTCATCGCCCACCAGTGCTAATTGAAGAGAAGCTAATACAATTTTAGAAGTTCTCTAAGCTATTATACAATGTATTATGTATCAGTGCCACACCCGAGCGCAGATAACCTGAGGACCCTCAGGATCATTGTGTGAGTCTTGTCTCGAAGCTGTATTTCTCCCAGCCTTTGAGACTGTACCCCTCCCAAGCTTGGAGACTGGCAAGATGACTTCTCTCTCTGCTTGAGGTGACTGACGACTTGCTTAGATTGTCACTCTGGCTTGATGACTAGCTTGTAAAAGCTAATTCACACTATAACACTGACCACTGTGAATAAAATAGCGTATTGCCCACAAAAGTTACGGCAAAGGCACGAGCTGCTGAACAAGCTTTTATTGGGGGTAATCATTCCCTTGCAGAGTGAAACGGTGCCCTAATAAAAGTTTCTTCTACAGCGTGTCTGTGTCTTCAGACTAAACGATTCAACTCGACTGTTTAGTTAGAAGGCCAGAGCCGCTGGTAACACTAACTACCGCACCTAGACCCACTACCTCACCCACTCAGTAATACCATCTCACCAACACCCATTACCTCACCCACTCCGTAACACCACTGCACCTAGGCCCACTACCTCACAAAAGAAACTTGGAAACACAACTTACTAGCGCAGAATCCTCTCTTCTTGTTCCTTTTGAGCTTGTAGAAGCCGGAGGGGCAGACGCGGGTGCAGGAGGCAGTCTGCCTGGCGCCCTCCCTGTGGAGCAGCAGGGAGAAGGGCGGCTTGCACGACAGACACCCGTTGATGGGCGTACACTGAGCACACCCGTACGGACACCCCACCTCCATCACCACCTCTGTCGGACACACAGTGCTATTAGTCTGTTGTCAATGATTTGGCTTACACTTAAATATTATTGAAGGGGAGAACTGGGTAATGCTCTGCTAACCATTCATATTATATTGTTACTTCTTGAGAGAGACAGATTATATTGATGCAAAAAACGCTAATAAATGTGGCTTATTTCAGTTATAGGTCACTAGGGTTTCTTCCCCAGGGTCAGACCCACATTAGAATTACACAGGATATATACTGATTGATAAACATGTGTAAATAGACTTGCCTGCACGTCTCGACTCACCCAGGATTCGAACCCGGGTATTTTCGGAAGCGAGCACAATTACAAGACTCACCCTAAGCTGTAAGACATATCTTGAATAAAAATCGAACAATATATAAAATTGAGCATTTCATTTATTACAAGCAGAGTGAAGATGGACTATGTTTTAACACATCGGTTGTTTCACGTCAAGGTAGAGTGACTAGAAAAAGCAGAAACACTTCTATCATCACTCACTCAGTGGATTGACAAAAAGGTAATATTCTTATGTTTTTTAATTGAAATATAATATAATGCCATGAATCTTCGAGTTTATAAGGCTGATCACAACACTTAGATACTAAAGTTTTAGATTCAGAAATTTTTATAAACAATATATGTAGCAAATAATTCTCCCAGATCATATAATCCTGACAAGAACATAAAAATGGACACAGTAGAGGACCTGAAATTCGTAACAAGTGAAAATCACAGTAATATGGCACCACTAAACTATTACACTGTTTTATGCAAATATACCCTGAGAGTAGCTACTATTATAAAGAACATTCTTTATACTTTACTGACAACAAACAAATCATTACCTTTAAAATTAGAACTAGCTTTCATTTTCAAAATACTTCAACTGTTCAGCAGACTCTGGCGAACAGTTGATCTCTGTAAATTTTCTCTTCCTCTTCCCAGAGTAATGAAAGTACATTGTGCCTCTACAGTCTCTAATGGAAGAGTCCAAACATATTCTCAATATAATGAATGCATTGCCTAAAAAAAATGAGATTCAAGTGACATAAACTGTTACGTAAATGACATGTTGGTAAGTTTTTTACAGATTTATATTACGAATACTTTTTAAATGACGTCTCTCACTAGAGGCTTGGACACATCTATGCTGTATTTACCGCAAAGATTTCTAGCTTTTTCTTTTACAGCATCGGCACTCATTAGAGGATATTTCCATAAAACATTGAAATTCTGCTCTGGCTTCCATCATGATGCCTTGTGATGGGTGACCCCGTGGTCTGCCTGGCAAAGCTCTCGCTTCACACACGGAGGTCCCGGGTTCGATTCCCAGCGGGGTAGCAACATTTCGACGCGTTTCCGTACACCTGTTGTCCTGTTCACTTAGCAGCAAGTAAGTACCTCGGTGATAGCCGACTGGTGTGGGTCGCATCCTGGGGGACAAGATTGAGGACCCCAACGGAAATAAGACAGACAGTCCTCGAAGACGCACTGCTTTTCTTAGGTTATCCTGGGTGGCTAACCCTTCGGGGTTAAAAGTCCGAACGAAATCTTATCTTATCTTGTCATGTCTCCAGTAAAACAGTCCGGAAGAACGTATAAGACATTAGACATTTTCTCGATATTTATTTCATCTTTGAAATTCCCAACCTTTCTTCTTCCTCGACATTGGGGCTGTTATACCATTGTTTCCAGCAAGCTTACACTCTGATAAAATTGTTTCCAGCATGCTTACACTCTGATAAAATTGTTTCCAGCAAGCTTACACTCTGATAAAATTGTTTCCAGCAAGCTTACACTCTGATAAAATTGTTTCCAGCAAGCTTACACTCTGATAAAATTGTTTCCAACAAGCTTACACTTTGATAACATTGTTTCCAACAAGCTTTAACTCTGATAACATTGTTTCCAACAAGCTTACACTTTGATAACATTGTTTCCAACAAGCTTACACTTTGATAACATTGTTTCCAACAAGCTTACACTTTGATAACATTGTTTCCAACAAGCTTACACTCTGATAACATTGCATCCCTCTTACTTCTTGAAGAAACAAAGTCTTCCAACAAGGATTCTAAATTTTAACCTCAATGTCTATTGCTGAACTTCTTTCTGACTTGACCATTTTTATAACCGTAGACAATGGTTCTTAAAACTCCCCAGTAAACTGAAACTATAAGGACGCACTCAAAGGTTTTCTTATAAATAAGAATTTTCTGCAAATCCGAACGAGCCTCACTAGATAAGTTCAGATTTTTATTAAAGCAGTCCAGCTACTTTTAATATATTTGTTTATGATGAGCAGCAGCAAGCGGTCTGGGACGCTCAGTCTTATCTGACCAACCTGCACCAGACATATTATATAGAAAATAATATAGTGTTGGCTTATAATATATAAACGGGCCTAGTCTCGGTCTCAGGAAAGCATTCCTGTCTTCACTCCTCTGACTAACTACGCCCCTGGATAGACGTACCTTGAGCAACAAGATATAGAGATATACATTATGCCGCTTGATCTACTTCTGGTTGTTCATTTATACACAAGATAGAGAGAAGGAGGAAGCATTATATTCTGAAACACAACTCGTGTTTCTCACATTGTATCATCTTCAGCTAGGAGACAAACCATAGTTTGATACACAAAAGTTTATTTAAATCAATTGAGCAAATGCTTCACACACACAAATACGAAACGTTGTTGCATATTAGAGTTGATGAGTGCACTCTTGCGGCAGCGATGAGTGATGAGTGAGTCAACATTTGTGATGCTGTGACATAGTGGGGTGAGTGTGGCGAGGAGAGGGTGGGGGATGGTGGGGAGGGTGGGGAAGGCGGGGAGGGCGGGAAAAGTGGGGAGGGTTGAGACGTAAAGGAAGGAAGGAGAGGTTATTTATTAAAAAAAAAAAAATACATCAACAGTGTTCATCTAACCTATTCTATACGATAGTTACACACAGGGAATATAAGCTAACTGTTTCCCTGTCACAGTCCATCACGCAGGATGGGATTCATACAACGAGCTGAAATCTGTCAGCCTGAGCTGGGAGACTTCAGTAGGGCGATGAAGATATCGTCCAGTATTCCAACAAGGATTCATCTTCTGCAGCAGCTTGGGAGATTTCGTTCCAGCATAGACAGAGTTACTGTCACTTAGGCATTCCCATCTCTCAGAAGAATTTTTCTATACACCGGAGAAATTGAATATTTGACGATATCTTCATCATTCCAGAGTGATGATAAGATAAATTATACACAAGAGACAGAGGAAAGAGAGGGAAGAAAAGAAGGGGAAGAGGAATATAGATATTACAATTCAGAATATAGTACATCAGTAGATGATAACGAATACATAAGCTTAAGTATATATAATGACTCGAGCCTCTTAACGATTTTTCCTCATTTCCCGTTTTCCTTTAAATAAAATTAAAAAAACAATTGCTACTTTATTCCGCATGATAGTTACATACCTCTGTATGTTAGAAGTGATCAAGGTCCCAGGACCGAAACGTTTTCTAATAAATATGTTACAGTGTTTGCTTACGTGTCTTTCTAAACCAACTTGTCGGTATTTATTACCAAGGTTTATACCAGTTACAAACGTACATAGATGAATGTTCACATGTGAATTGTAAAGGACCTGCCTAGTATGGGCCAACAGGCCTCCTGCAGTGTTCCTCCTTTCTTATGTTCTTATGTTATATCTACACATGAACATATACAGAGAGGGATTGGATTGGAGGATTTGGGAGGGGATGAGAAAGTGGAGCTTGGAGAGCAGGATAGGGACAGGAAGAAGGTAGATTCAGGTTACTAAACATTTGACAGGAAACAGGACCAGCGTTTCTTGACGCGGGTCTTAGTCACATGATGACCCACAGCTGTAGCTTTTGGTTATCTGATCGAGGACTGAACAATGTTGATGGTAGGGGGTGCGTGGGAGGCTCACTGAGACTATCACTACTACTGTTGTGCTCACCTGCTGCCCTGGGCACACTGAGACCCCGGGAACATTGCTGCCTTGGGCACACTGATGCCTTGGGCACACTGCTGCCCTGGGTACACTGCTGCCCTGGGCACACTGCTGCCCTGGGAACATTGCTGCCTTGGGCAAACTGCTGCCTTGGGCACACTGCTGCCCTGGGCACACTGCTGCCTTGGGCACACTCCTGCCGTGGGGAAACTGCTGCCCTGGGCACACTGCTGCCCTGGGAACATTGCTGCCTTGGGCATACTGCTGCCTTGGGCACACTGCTACCCTGGGCACACTGCTGCCTTGGGCACACTCCTGCCCTGGGCACACTGCTGCCCTTGGCACACTTCTGCCTTGGGCACATTGCTGCCCTGGGCACACTGCTACCCTGGGCACACTGCTGCCCTGGGCACACTGCTGCCATGGGCACACTGCTGCTCTGGGCACACTGTTGTCCTGGGCACACTGCTGCCCTGGGTACACTGCTGCCCTGGGCACACTGCTGCCCTGGGAACATTGCTGCCTTGGGCATACTGCTGCCTTGGGCACACTGCTGCCCTGGGCACATTGCTGCCTTGGGCACACTCCTGCCCTGGGTACACTGCTGCCCTGGGCACACTGCTGCCTTGGGCACACTTCTGTCCTGGGCACACTGCTGCCCTTGGCACACTTCTGCCTTGGGCACATTGCTACCCTGGGCACACTGCTACCCTGGGCACACTGCTACCCTGGGCACACTGCTGCCTTGGGCACACTGCTGCTCTGGGCACACTGTTGCCCTGGGCACACTGCTGCCCTGGGCACACTGCTGCCTTGGGCACACTGCTACCCTGGGCACACTGCTGCCCTGGACTGCAGGTAGACAAAGACAGAGACAGGGAGAGACTAGAATAAAAGGAGAGAGTATGTGGAGTAAATGAGGCTGGGCAGAAGTGTCAAGAGCAGTGGGAGAAGACCCAAGTGGCCATCATGGATGGTAGTGTACACACAGGTAGAGAGAGAGAGGCCTTGTGAGGTGGAGGAGGCT